GTAGCCAATGTCCATGTTGCCCATCCTGTCTACTCTGTGTATGGAGGGGGTGGGAATGATCCTTGCTGTAAAGATTTGTTCCCGCTTTTGAGCTACTGCATCCATAAGTGTAGGTCAAGTCCATCAAACTGTATCAGATTACTATTTTGTTCCTCTTCTTTCTTCTTCTAGTTGAGCTCTGATCATCCAGTCATTGAAGCCAGTTCAAGTAGTTATTAATCAGCAAGTGTGGATGTTCTTATGCATATGCCCTCTCTTCTTATCAGCTGAATGCTTCACTCTCCACTCTAGCCCTCTGTGACTACGTCACTGACTCTGAGCCCAAGAGTCCCTAGGTCTTGCCACACAGCTGTCTGATCAGGTCTCCACTTGGGTTCACTAGAGTCTAATGAATATTGTAGGGCTTAGCTCGCAGCTTCATTGCTGTTTTCCCTCACGTCTCCTTATCGCTGATTAACATGGTCACCAATCAGAGCATGTATTCCCACTGAGTCTTAGTCTTGGAAGGAGGTTTTCCCTGAGGGGTATGGTAATGTTTTTATAGCAGCTGTGTGGCGCTGTAGAATCAACACTGGACTGTGAATCACAGGTCAGCAGTTCAAACCCACCAGCTGCTCCTCAGAAATCCTATACAAGTTCTCTATGAATCGGAGTCAACTCAATGGCACTTAACAACAACAACAATATAAAAGTAGAGAACCCTGGTGGCATAGTGGGTTATGCACTGGTCAGTGGTTCAAATCTACAGAGCTGCTCCATGGAAGAAAGAAGAGGGTTTCTGCTCCCATAGAGATTTACAGCCTCAGCTACCCTACACATAGTCATGACAATCAGAATTGACTCAACAGCACACAACAGCAGCAATATAAAAGAAACGCAGTCTCTATCGTCAGTGCATCAGCTCCATCCCAAAATGATATTAAAAATTTAACCGTTTCTCGTCATATCCTTGTTCCACTTATGTCTAGCCACCAAACCTCGTGCCTAACTTACCACTAAAGTCTCCACTTGTTTCCCTACTTCTATCAATTTAGAACACAGCAATTAATCTGATCCCATTAACTCATAAGTGATATCAGGTCTCTTACTCAACGCCTTCTAATGGCTTCAGAGCTCATGCAACACAATAGCCTAAGCTCTTTCCCTGATTCTCCCAGACTTTATATGATCTGGCTGCTCAGATTCTCCAGCCTCTTCTCCTTAAACTCTTCTCACTTTTTCTCTCAGTTCCACTACACTGTTTGCTTTGATGTTCCTCTAACACAGCGCTGATCACTCCCAGATCCGTGAACTCCACACTTCCTTTGGGAGACCTTCCTCTCAATATTTATCATTATCTATCTCACTGTATACGGAGTCCTTGTGTGGCAATGCAAGACAATGCACTGGATCATAAGGTTGGTTTGAACCTCAAGGTCAATGGTTCAAACTCACCAGTCACTCCTTGGAATCCCTTTACAGGGTTGCTATGAGTTGGAATCGATTCAACAGCAGTTAACAACAACATAGTACTATATAATTTTATCTTAATATTTCTGGCCATTCATAAGAAGTAGGAGTCCTGGTGTCGTGCTGTGGTTTGATGTGCTGGACTACAAAGTCGGTTTGAACTGCATGGTTGCTGGTTCAAGCTCACCAGCTGCTTCTTGGAAATACTAAACAGGGTCTCTTTGGGTCCCAAACAATTCAACAGCACTTAACAACAAGAGCATATGAAATAGTTGGGTATCATAGAAGAAGAGATTCTGTCTGTTTAATTCAGTTATCTTGCACATATAAAGGCTCAATAAACAAACCAAAATAAAGCATTGCATTTTTCTTCATGGAATGTGAACCTTGGTTTTGATATTGCATTCCTAGTCTGACTCCAGCTACCTCAGTCCAGCTCTCTCTACAGACACTGCAATCACACCTTTCTCAATATCTTTGTTTTCTGTTTTTATCCTCACCCTTCAACTCATACTACAGATAAATCTCTCCAATTCAAGCTTTGCTAAAAATTCTTTATAGTAGATTATTTTCCTTCTTAGGAAATGACAAAGATCCCATTGCTTTTGCTTCAAGACCAGATCACAAAGCACTGTATTCTTATTGTATTAAACACCAATTGAGATGACACTTTCCTTGTCTTCCACGGCAGTCACTTAGATTTTCACATTTGGGCGCCCCTTGTCTGTGCATCAACTTACCCAAGAAGGTCACATTTACACTGTTCTCCTTTCCTTCCTTCAAATATTCAAGCTCCAGGCAAACTGAGATAAAGGTTTCACAAAAATCATGTTCTCCAAGAAACTTTGTCCACTTACTCCAGTTCTACCAGGCTTCACTTTTATTTAATTATTCCTTTCTATCTTATCTGTAAGGGTGCTTTTGTGTTATTTTTAACATCTCTACATAGAATTAGTATTTTTGAGGGAAAGTTTCTATTTCCTTTTGATCTTTGACTGCTAAAGTGTAAGCACAGCTCCTTGCCTATAGCAAGTGCTCAGAAATTACCATCCTAGATTGCAAGACGAGGGCATTTTCTAAGACACTGTAATAAAAATAATAGTTGTCTTGCTCTCTGAGTTTATTAATTTACTACTCAATTATATTTAACCCTGACTTGGGTCTTATATTGTACAGAAAACATTCTGCCCATTACCTCTAGTCTTTTAAGGAACAAAAGGCTTTATAAATAGGAAAATGCATTTTTCTCCTTTAGTTACTTTCAAATCATTGTTGTTGTTGTTGTTGTTAAGTGTCATTGAGTCAGTTCTGACCCAGTATAAGGTTTCTGGTGAATTTGAACCTATTTTGTGGTTCAAATGGACTTTGCAGTCCAGCGCATTAAAGACTTCCCTCCCATTTCCAGTTTGCTCTGACAACTGCTGTCTGGAAACCTATCAAGCTGTCCTTTTCTGCACACATGGGTCCACCACCAATCAGAATCAAATGGACAGCAACTAGTAACAAGAATACTTAAAGGCTGGGAGCTTTTGACAACGTTCTTTGGAAAGAATATGATTCTCTTAAATGTTCCAGACAGTTAAAAAAAAAAAAGCAACCTCAAGTATTGAAAACAAAATTCCTCGCCCCCCACCCCACCAACAAAGAACAGGCAAAAAACACGGAAGACCACTCTCAGAAAACGTTATACTTTTTGTTAAATACCTTCTTTGTCATTGTGATGGATTATTGCATCTTGTATCATGTCAGCAAGGTGAAAGTGAACTTTCTGATTTTTTCCATGCTTCAACTTTTTCAGGAATCCTTCCTGCTTCTGAAAAGCCTTCTCCCGTTCATAGTAGGCTTTGATTTGTTCACAGCGCATGCGTTTCACCAGTCGTTGCCGTTGGCCTAGGGGAAGGGACTCCAGCAAGCACTGGTCAATTTCCATCTCATGGGATCGAAAAACATTACAAAGCTGAAAGCAACCTAAAAGAAAAGCAATTAAGAAGTGTCACTACACCTTGTTATTACAACCAATATCAGATAGCACTAGACATCATACTGAATTTTAGATTAGCTATTCTGTAAATCATAAAATAATTCAATCCTCTGCGCTTCACAAAGTTCTTTTTACAATCTGGGGAAAGCAAAAAGAACTGATGTCTTATTCAGGATTGTATGACAATAAAATGCATAATCAAATTAGATACATAGCATTGCTCAATGCACTTATGAACAACACATCCTTTCCTAAATCTTTAAACCACGTTGTTGTTATTATGTGCCTTTGAGTCTGTTCAAACTCATAGAGATCCTGTGTAGCAGTGGCTGGTGGGTTTGAACCACCAACCTTTCGGTTAGTAGTCCAGTGCTTATCCTACAGTGTCACACCAGGAATTCATTAAATCCATACACAGGGCTGTTCTGCCTCTGTGGTGAGCTCCTTCACATAACTGAGTAACGCTGAGTAGCTTTGTATTGAGTGTGGCAGAAAGCCATTCTCTTCTACTCTTTGAGAAGACCCTAGTAGCTAGTTCTGCATATCATAGTGACTTTGCCAATCTAACGTAACAAATCTTATGCTTTCAATTCTTTATATGATGCAGTGATCAATTCCCACCAATTCATTGCTGAACCCTTTCTTCATTAACAAAAGCGTGCATTTCTGAGAAACCTAATGATAGTTAAATACAAAGAGGTGAAGCAGATTTTTTTCCCCCTCTCTCCGCAACTGAAAATGAGGACTAACCTTCTTGCATTTGTCTCACCAGTGTAAGGGTATTGTTGTTGTTGTTGTTAAGTGCCGTCGAGTTGGTTCCGACCCATAGCGACCTTGTACAGGGTTTCCGAGGGTATAAATCTTTACAGAAGTAGAAAGCCTCACCTTTCTCCCGCGGAGCGGCTAGTAGTTTTGAACCGCTGATCTTAAGGTTCGCAGCCCGATTCGTAACCACTACGCTACCAGAGCAGTGTACCCTGTTGGTGCATCAAGTTAACTGATGGGCTGCTCTGCAACCCTAAGTAGTAGTTTGACTCTGGTCAGACTCCACAGCACTGGGTTGGGTTGGGTTTGGGTGGTGTAATGTGTTAACAGCAGTGCTGCTGACTAAAAGTTCAGTGATTTGAAACCAGCAGCCACTCCATGGAAGAAAGCTAGGCATTGTGCTTCTTATAAAGCTTTATAGCCTTAGAAACCTTAGAAACCCTATAAAGTAGTTCTACTCCATCCATGGCAGGGGGTCTGGCTTTCCCTTTGGATCTTACCAATGTGAGGAGGCGTCAAAAAGTTTTTATCTTTTTTTCCACTTTCCATGAACTTTTTGAAGCCTCTCTGTATACTGATTATCAAAACAGTTACCGGGCCTAGAATTGAAAATTCACTGTCTTTGAAGATGCTATTGCCTATAAACACTACTCAAAACAACTGTAACAGAACTTCTCAAATGCCTACTTATGGCTAGGTAAAAAGCTTAGCATTTTCAGAAGACCTAATGTTAAGTCAATGAAAACTCTAAGATCTGGCCTAAAAAAACAGGAATGGAGATAACTGTTGTATGTTCTTTGCCTGAGATGTTTATGATACAAGCCTATGTAATTAATATGTAAATGACTGCATAAAACGTGGTTAATCATATGCCATCTCTTTGAAGATCCTACAATGAAGATCTACTTCATTTTTGAAAATGTGTGGCATTCTTTTGAAAGTCATAACACTGCTAGAATTTTCATTTCTAACATACTGGACATTTTACAAGGCTTTATTCTCACAATAACCTGTGGCATGCCATGACAAACACTGGTTTGAGAGTAAAGAAAACAAAGGTGAGAAAGGCTGAGATTTGCTTAAGACATGACTGCATGACAGAATCATAAATAACCCACAAATGCACAAGAATAAACAAAATAAAAGACTGTGGTTCTCTTAAACAAGATACTTAATACATAAATATTGTTGGTGGTGTTAAGTGCTGTGAGTCAGTTCCAATTTATAGCTGCTCTGTTTAGGGTTTCCAAGGATCATCTGGTGGGTTTGGACGGCTGACCTTGTGATTCACAGTCCAGTGCTTATCCACAGTGCCATACCAATTTTGTTGTTGTTGTTGTTAAGTTGCTAGCCAGTTGGTTCTGACTCACAGTAACCCTGTAGAGAGTTTCTGAGGAGCAGCTGGTGGGTTTGAAGCACCAACCTTGTGGTTCAAACTTCAAACAAACAAGCAAAGAAAATTAAATTTATCAACATTGCTTATAGTCTCTATTTTACTTTTACATCCAATTATT